TGATAGATTTTCAACCACCACCACCACCAAACTTATTGCCGTTGCCAAAAATTGTGTCCACTACCAGCCTACCGCCAGCAGAACCAGAGATAACCGAATACCGTCCGCAGTGCTTCTATGCAGAGGAAGAATTATGTGACAAAACTCTAACGAATTGGAATCAACAAACTTACGATCAGCACACACACTTGGGCACTTGTCATTGTCGACCATATACGAATATGCCTACGTCATGGTATTGCTGCAATGTAACACACATGTCAATGATCTCGTCCTGTAGCAACACAACCACCTGGACAAACTTACATATACGCAATGTCACATTGCATGAATTAGATTTGTCGAATTTTCTCTACCAGAAACTACAATCGCTTGCCATCACCGACGGTAACATCACCAAATTGGTGGGTAGCTTTTCGCGATTTTCCTCTATCAAGTGTCTGAATGTATCCAATAATAATTTGTCGGAAATTACGCAACGTGGTTTAATACCGCCGACGCTGAAAGTGTTGGATATATCGAAAAACAATTTAACCAGCATTCCGAACTTTAATCAAAATCAAAATATAACTGTAGACGTGAGGTGTGTATGTTTATGCAGAATTACTTTTTTTTATTTATGTTTTCTCAAAAATACAAAATTAACTTTCATTCGCAGTGGGAACAACAATATGCTATGTTATGACATATACAATTCCATCTTTCGGGATTCGCTCATGTTCGTCAATCAGCAAAACTCGTACTGTTTGCATAACTCCACTTTTCGTTGGTTCAATTCAACAGACTTGATATCCATCAAGGAGCTAGTCAAATCGCGTCCGTTGAACACCGATTGTCCCAGCATACCTGGTTATGGCAATTGTACTTGCAAGAAGGAGCACATGGTGACCACATTGTCGGTAAATGCATTGAAATTTATTTAAAAAATATCGCTTTTTAACTCACCGAATGCAACAACACCTTGTTTATAGGGCGATGAATCGGAGGCTACAACCAAAATCATATCGGAAGTGGACTGCTCTAATCTTGGTCTTGTTGAGCTACCGCCAAAGCTGCCAGAAAACACATTCTCATTGAACGTTTCGAACAATAAGGTTTTTATTTAAATAGCAACCTTTCAATATTTGTTTAAGTATTTTCAAAATTCTTTTTTTTTTTTACAATAGATTACAAGCATCGGTAAACACTTTCATACGAATCCGACATATCGTAGCCTAATTTACCTAGTGGCGGACAACAATAACATTTCAAAAATATACGATTTTGAAGGCACCACCTTTATGGAACACTTTCAAAGACTTTACTTGCGCAACAATGCAATCAGCAGTGTAAGTTTTATTGATATATAATATATAATATATAATATATCAGTATGGCGAAACCAATTGATCAACGTACAAGTATGATCAGCTTGGCGAGCGGAGTCGAGTTCAGGTTTTGACATATCGGTTTGATATTTTGCACACGTGATTTTTTCCAATATGCTGCTCATTTGTTGGAATCGCCGACATCGGAACACTATGCTATATAGGGACTAGAAAAGTGATCGATCATAATTGACAAGATATCGTCGCAAAATTTGGCGTGGATTGGCCAGTTACGTTTTAAGATTTAGTTATATATATGAACCTGTGAAGGATAGGATGGGATAAGAATATACATAGATTCGGTTCAGCCGGAGTTACTATTTTTCTTGTTTTTACCATATATACCGAATATTTTATGGTATATTCATAATCTCCTCATACATATATCATGTTTCATTTTATTAAATATGTTATTCACTATTTCAGATTCCCGAGTACTTTTTGAGCAACGTATTGGATAATCATGATGTTGGACGCATTATCTTTCTCGGCGGCAATGAGCTGAATTGTGACTGTAACTCAGCTAAAACATTGAAGGTAAATACCAAATTGAAACTCATTTATTATGAAAAACTGTATGTGTCTTATTTTCACAGTATTGGCTGTTGGAGCACAATCGTGACATCCCTGACTATAATAGCATAAGATGTCGGAATTTACCACAAAATGTTATGGAATTACGTGAAAAGAAACTCTGCCAGTCACCACATGATTGGACTGATTATATTTATTATTTGATAGCCACTGAGGTGATTTTGTTAATTGCTTTAATCACAAAGGTGTCTTACGATTACTGGGTGTTCAAAACGGCCGGTTATTTGCCATGGCCAGCAAGTAAAATGCCAAAATTACCATGTGATTGGCTATGTGAATCTTAGTGCGCCCAGTTTATCGTGAGAGGGGAAGCAGAAAGGCAAAAGATTATTGAAATAACCATCGAAATTTATTGAAAATATACATATTAAGTTAGGCTAGTTAGTTTTATATCAGCATATTAATATTTATTAAATGTGCCTATATTAGTTCAGTAAGTGGGAGAGAAAAACACACTCAAAAGGGAAACACAATAAGTGCAATTTCCCTAAAGTGCCTACAAAATTGTTATTATTGTCTATAAAAACTAAAAAATAAGAAATTATGCACAAGAAAATAATTACAGAGTAACATATTTACAATCTTTTTTATTAAACATATGCTTATATGTATGTATTTGTAAATAAAAAAAGAATTTCACTGAATTTATGTAAAAGTATTTATAAGAACTTATTACTGTTTTTTCAATTTCATTTTTTTGCTTGACGAAGGCTGTAAATTAGAAGACTTTTTCGTGTTCAATTTCGTGTTGCTAGTATTTTTATCAAACTCAGCATTTGCCTTACGCTTTGTCGGCATTGGTTTTACATTTTTCTCAAAATTATCTTTTTCCTTTTCCACATTCTTGGATATACGCGTTGATATACTATCTCGCTTTGGCGCATGGCTTTCCAGCCACTTTCTTTCGCTTTTACGTTTTTTCTTCATAGCTAATATGAAATCGGGCACTTTCCCATTAGATTCCTTAATAATATTTGCAATGCTGGAAAGGAAAAGTTATAAGAAATTACATTGAATAATTCATTTAATTCCTATAATTTATTTACCTTCTTAAATTTGGTGTGTCATTTTGTGTGAAGAATGTTATAGCCTTGCCATTTCTGCCCGCTCGACCCGTGCGACCAATACGATGTATATACGAAATCACTGATGGTGGAAAGTCGTAGTTTATGACCAGATTGACGCCTTTAAAATCTATGCCACGGCCCATTAGTTCGGTACATATTAGCACCCATATATGTCCCTCCCGAAAAGCGCGTACACAATTGTCACGTTGTTGCTGTGAACGATCGGCATGTATGAGGTCGACATTAATGCCGTCGTAAAGCAGTTCCTGGAAGAGTTCCTTAGCACGTTCCTGAAATAGCATGACATTTAAAAGTTTTGTTTTTTGTTTATAACATATATTCATTTACTTTGCTTTGCACAAACACCAACACGGGCGGTTTCAGTCCTTTGCGTACCATATCTCTTATGGCTAATAGTTTTCCGCTCTCGGAACCAACAAATAGCAGCTCTTGTTCAACGGTATTCGTAGCGCTATTTTCATGACCAACTATTACACGCGCCAAGTTGGGAAGATTTTTTATCGCCCACTTAGCCACGGGAACTGTGTATGTCGCACTAAAAAGTGCCAACTTCTTTTTCTTATTTGTGCAAGCCGCTAAAATCACATCGACTTGGTCTTTGAAATTATTTATGCCTTCCTCCATTAAACGATCTGCTTCGTCAATCACCAACCATTCGACTCTTTAATGTTTAGATAAAATTATAATATGAAAATTTCAATATTGTTTAGAAATTTAGCCTTTATATACATCAATATAGTTCTATTTAAGAGTTTAGATTTAGTACATACTCAGCTAAACGTAGTGCGGGTGGTTCCTGCTCCAAAAGAAAACGTACGCGATTCGGTGTGGATATAAGTATATCATACTTCTTGTTCCCATTTCCAGTAGCCTCATTGTTGTTGTTTGCTTTTGTTTGAAAGTGTATTTTTAATGCAGTCTGATGTGCCAATTGTACGCATTCTCTATAAATTTGTGCCGCCAATTCGCGTGTAGGTGCCAACACAACCGCACGGAACCCAACTTTACTTGGCTTGCGCAAATCATTAATAAGAGGAGCTAGAAAAGCGATTGTTTTGCCTGAGCCTGTTGGTGCTGAGGCCATTATGTTGCGTCCCTGTAACAGAAGCGGCATTGCCTGCATTTGTATGGGCGTGGGTTTCGAATAAGTGGCAGTTGCGAGGTTTTGCAAAACACGGTCGGACATGCTATATTCATTTTTAAGTTCTTCAAATGTAGTGACAGGTGATGGTATATTCTTTCCACGCACAGTAATTAGATTTTCTTTACGTATTGTTGTCACCTGTTAAGAAATAATTAAAAGAAAAACTAATTTATATACATATATATATATTATTCATTAATGTATACCATTTCTTCATGAAGTTTTGCTTCCCTTTCCTCTGCGGTAAATGTCTTTTTAGGTTTCTTCGATATTTGTTTAACATCATCTTTGCCATTGATGTAATTAAAAGACAATTCTTCCTCTTCAGAACTGAAGCTGTCCGAGCGAGAGTCCTCATCGGAACTTTTTGCTTTTGTAGAAATTATGGTTTGTGCTGTTTTATTTTCTTGTATTTCATCAATCGTATTCTGGTTCAAGAGATATGTGCAAATAAAAATATAAATATATACGTCTTTATTATCTATAAATAGAAAAGGATCTTACCGCTTTGATTGCAGTTCTAGATTTTGAATTAAACCGTGCTCCTCTTGTCAATTGTAGAAATATATCATGTGTATCCATTACTTCTTATTCAGCTTTCACTTTAATGTAAAATAAGTTTCCACTTTAATTCCGAAAGTTGTAATCTGTTAAATTTACAACTTTTATTTATTTATTAAAGAAATTCGTGAAAAGACGCACGTGTTTTTTATTTCACAAAAATAATCATTCTTAATAATAAACAGAAACTGTGCGCTCAGCTGTCCCGAGCAGGGTTGCAGTCGAAACTGCTGCAAATTTAAAATGACATAGCTTTGGAGGTACACATTTTTTGTATATATTTAAGACAGGATGCTGCTCATCCATACATTTGGCTGAGGATACTCGTTTATAATTTTGTTTCTTAAAATATACTTTAATATACAATTAGAATATGTTTTAATAGTAATATTTTTAGAATATGCAGTCTTAACTGCTGCCAATTTGTGGGTAAGCGAACAGAGCTATGGTAAACAATAACAATGAACACATTTATACATACTCCATTTGTAAACAAACCCTTTTATATATCGTATTAATACATATATTTATACCACTAGGGTAGTGTTGTTGTTATTTGGATCTGAACTAATTTGCAATAAATAAATCATAAAGTAGTGCGCGAATAAATTTATATCGCCAAAATGGAAAGTATTTTGTTGCCAAATATTGCCGCGATTTTAGTGAAAGATATGTTAATAGACGAAAACAAAACCAAAGACAGGACAAATAAATTTGCCAAAAGGGATTTTCCGCTACTTTGCAGTGACTCCGATGATGAGGCGTTGCATTTTTTCCTGCAACAGAAGCGCAGGAAACATGAAGATAACCGCGATAAGCGAGTTATACCAAACAATTCGAGTTCAAAAAAGTTTACAATGGAAAATAATGTACCATTTGCTCCATATGAACCTATTAAGCGTCAAACTTTAACCGAAATTAATTTACTAAACAAATTTAATACGACACTATTTGAAGGATATTTGCATATGAGTAAAATGACTTTCTTGGTAGGCACAAATTAAAGCAATCATAATATTAAATTATTGAATTAACTCTTTTTTTCTAAAGCGCATCTTCAAGAGACTGCGGCAATATTTACCCAGCGAGCATTTGCCCACTTCAGCACCACCGCAATCGATTTTTTCACTCGCACTCTGGAAACTGTCTACAGATGAACATTTCGAAGATATTGGACGTAAATTCAACATTACGAAACATGTATGCCAACAAGTTATACGCCTATTTTGGCGACGTATTTCCGCACAATACGAAACATTAATTCAATGGCCCAGTACACCAGAAAAGCGTCAGTACACCGTACAGACTTTTCAATCAAATCAACAGCTTAATAAATTTCAACAACTATTTGGCATTTTGGCCACCAAACAGTTGGATGTGTTTCTCGAAGCTGAAAATGAGGAGCGACAAGTGGTATTACAAATTATTTGTGATGGTGATCAAAAAGTAATCGATTGCTTTTTAGTACTCGCCGATGAGTATTCATTCGACACCTCTCCTATAGGACAAACATTAGCGCTAAACGTTCAAACAATGCCCCTAGGAAGTTATCTCATTGGCGATGAAAGCTTTCCACTCAAACCTTACCTATTGCGTCCCATAGGTGCACCCAGCGATGAGAAGGAGCGTGCTTTTAATAAGGCATTACAACCGGCTTTGTTGTTGGCTCAACAATCGCTAGATTCTATGGCAAAACGATTTAACGCTCTTTATGCACTGGAAGCACGTAATCTACACGAAGTGCGTAAAATAGTGGATACAGTGTGTGCATTACATAATCTATGCGTCGACATGGAAGACGAATATGTCGAACGCAAATTAAAAGATATACAGTTTAATTGGGCCAAAGTTGGGAACGGAGCAATAACAAAACATGCAGGTGAAGAAGATGAAATTGGCAAGCAAAAGCGCGCTACAATCATGACGGAGGTGTTGCGGTAGATGCTTAGTAGATTATATTTAATATTGATAAAGTAATTTAATTATACCTACAAAGTTCTTCTTTGAAGAAAAAAAATCTTAATCTTCAGCCATATCGTTTATTCCGAAACATATATGTAAGCGCAATCGCCGACATATGTTGGTCGTTTATATTTTCTTTTCATTTATAATACAACTTTAAAATTTATGCGCTATAAATACGTTTACTTTAGATTACAGTACATTAACAGCGATGTATTAATGTATAAGGTATATATGTATGTATATGTATAATATGTTGCATATTACTTTTTGTTGCTTTTTATTACAGATGCTAGAAATATTTGTCCGTCAAGCTGCACAAATTAGTTCATGTACCAACATATAGTAGTTATCAGATGAACAAAATATAAGTTATATAACAAGCTAATAAGGTACATAATCGAAATATAATAATATATAATATGTGTGTATAAATAAAATTGACTATTAAATGTAAGTATATATAAAAATAGGTATATGAGAAGAGATAATAAAGTTTCGAGATTCAAGTTACACAAGCTTACTCCGTTTAACGAAGTGTAAAGAAATTTTTTTTATCAATATCATAAGTGAAGAGAGTTTTTAGAGAGTTTGAAGTACATCATTTCGAGTAATGTAGATTTAATAGGAGATCGATTAAATAGATAATAAATAAATTTGTGTTAATAAATATGTACAATAGGGGTCCACCCTCCCGAATTTTCAGTTTTTGGCCTACAAAAAGGATCCAAGCATTCATACAAGCGATTTATACGTTCTGTGTTGCTCATACGACATGGTGTACTGTATGAATACAGTACATTCAATGGAAAACTTTAACTTTAATTATTAAGACCTTTTTTGTAGAGCGGATAATTTTGTATTAGAATATAATTTTTTAAAAGTTGTAGGTTTATTTGCTTGGGAGATAAAAAATTTATTGCAAAAGATCAAAAAATCTCATGTAAAATGTATGGGAAAAGTAAAATGATTTAGGCAGGTTTCAATTGAAAATAAAGAGTTTGTTTACGTTGGATAATTTTTTGTAAAGCAAAAACTGAAGCTTAAGAGGGCGTTTGCAAACACAAAATCAACTTGGGAAATAACGGACACCCTAATGTACACATAAATAACAATAAGTGATTTGTAAAAATTGCCTACAAATATAAATAAAAAGTGGAATGTTTCGAGACATTAACTTAGCATTGAACAGCACAAAATATACAAATGTGGATATGTAAATTATAAATATTTGTGCAGTGGCCAAGTAGTTGGCGCTTAATATAGCTTTGCATGGCTTAAATTATTCCAACTATGTGCTACTTGTACTTAAATTGAGATTATTGCCATTTCCAACACTAGTGTTATTACCACCTAATAATTGTAATAGTTTTTGTCTGGTGCGTTTGTCGCTAACGCAAACGCATTGTATGAGATTGGTTAGTTGCTTTGTGGAATATTGCTCCAGATTGCGCTGTGCATCAATCCATTCTTCGAATTGTTCATTTGAGTAGTAATATGCTTTTATAAAACTGTCAACATAAATGCGATGCGCCGGATATTTCTGATTTGAAATCAACTCGAGTATGGACATAAAATTTGTAAAATCTAGTTGCATTAGCGCACGACCGCCGGCGGAGCATTTTTTTACATTCGAGAAACTGTATGAAAACCACAATGATATAAAAATATTATTTAATAAATTTTATAAGTTCAATATGCTTACCCTTCTACTAGCAAATGCGTCGCGACATGAGCCATGGAGTTCCATATAGTTTCCGCAGGTAGATTTATTTCTTTAGCGATTTCTTCCAAACGCATTGCAAAACTTTGAATATTCTAATATAACACAAAATAATTAATTGAAAATGTAACTCGAGAAAAAATAAATCAATGCTTATAATAAATCATACACACCCGATTCATTATATCAATATAATTATTATGGTGAAAGCTGACGTGATTGACATCCCATTTCACTTTGGTGATCATTGCTAAGACCGCTGGCAAATCAATGACGCGCGATGTAACACAGGTGTACACTGGGCGTGCAATATCAGTCATGAATTTAATATAATCGAAATAAGCCGTTAGCATTGGTCTCTCTTGTGGCGGTAACAAATGGTTGAGGTAATTGTGTAGTGTTTGAAACTGCTGTGTCATACAATGACCACTCTCGATCGCAACTATGCGCTGTGAAAGGCCGTACAGAGTATCTGGATTCGCCAGCTCATTATTAATCTGCAATCAAATATAACGGTTTGAGTTATGAAAAATGTTATAGTGTTAATGGTGGCATACACACCAGTGATGAAAAGTTTAGTGGCCAAATTTTTATATTTGTTACAACATTATCCAGAACTGTTTGGAGTTTTTGCTCAAGACGTGCGTTGTAAAATTTTTCCATCGTCACGGGCTAGAAAAAAATTTAACATTTATAACAACAAAAAAAAACACTATTGCAACAGCGGTTATTGACGTTCATCAACTTACTGCATCTTTGCCGAAAATTTCGTGCACCGCATAGGCATAAAAATCCATCAATTCCAACATGCTCGCCACAATTTTCGGTGAAATGCAATGCAACAATTTACACATTTGTAGGTAACGGCCAATGCAACGGAATACATTCAGTGTTGTATTGTTTACAATAACACACGTAATGCCAGCTTCATCTTCGTATTTGCTTTGCATGCTTTTCTGCTCGTCATCACTCTCCTCTGAAAAGTAGCAGGATGCCTCGTCTACAATTCCGGAGAGTATGTCCTCTTCAAGCATAGCCACATCCAGACCGCCATCGAATGGTGAACTCTTCTCAGAGAAACGCAGAAAGTAACCATAGGAACCGTAAATGGAACTACCACCGTCTTGCGAATGCACCGACACTAACTCGTCACAATTGTTATTGCTTGTTGGTGAATTATTTACCGATGTCGCTGAGACGATCAAGTGTGCGACAGGCGGTGATTTATGCCGTCTTAACGTATTGCGTACAGAACGAAATTCCTACAAGTATGAAAAAAAAATCATTTAAAATTCAATTAACATTGCTTTAAGTCATTTATCTCACCGGCAGCTGAAGTATATTAACAAACGAATCCACCATTGTCCACGATTCATTATCCAAAAAGAGACATATCTCCTCTAGGCATGTTATGTGATAACGTTGGAAAAATTCCTGACTTTGCACTTGCATTGTTTCAATCAATTTCTCGGACTGTTCACCACAAAACTCCAAACCAACTTTTTTTAAACGCTGTACTATGGATAATACTTGTATGAATTGATCATACTTCAGCGTTTTCAGCTTGGTGCTTTGTAGGAAAGTGCATATCTTTGTTAGAATATCATTCCAAATGCGTGATTGACCTTTCTTCAGTTTTTCCTGTATATATATATCGGGCGAGTCTTCCATGTCCATAGGATAGAGTTTATAATTTTGATGCCAAACAACAATTTGATAGTAGGACGCCAATATAGTCCAGAATGTTTTGCATAAGCTGATCAAGCAAGAAATGTATTTGTCCACAGTCACTTGTTCACAAAGTTGTTCGAAAAGGAATTTCATATTTTCATCAATATTAGGGTCGTTATAGGCGCGTAAAACTGAGTTTACAGAGGAATGTATAGCCGAGATGAAATTTATGTGCAGCTGAATCATAAAAGGAGATATTAGATATTGGAAAAACAAACAATATTATTATATCAGCTAACCTGATCCATAGCAATTAGAGATTTGTTCAGCAGTTTGTAAGCTTCTTGCAGCTTCGCATACTTTCGCATATCAAAATTCAAAATCATCTATAAATATAGCAAATAGGTAAACAGTCATAAAAAACAAAATTACATTAATCTGTGCAGTAAATATCCACCTCGTTGAGAACTGTGTCTAACTGAAACTCGGTTAGCAAAAGTGTTTCCTGTAGCTTCTTATTCAATGACTGCACGCAGTTGTATTGCATATATTCAGCAGCAGAATCTTTACACTTAAGCAGCAAACCAATTGCACCAGAGTAATTATAGTCGGAAAGAAATTTTTGCACTTCGACGTCAGTTGATTTCTAAAAGATATGCCAATAAATGATAATTAATTCCCTGCATTTACATATATTACCGAAGTTAAAACAATCTTACCAGCTTTTTAATTGCGAGCAAAGTATTTAAAAGCTCTTTAAGTATTTCACGCTTTCGATAAGATGCTAATATTTCTAGGCTTGTTGTGGTTAAATTGACTTTTGCATAGTTTAAATAAGAACGAGCTTTTCGACAAGTCCACAGGGACTCCTCCAGCTCTTTTTGTATATCATTAATGGATGCAAACTCCTCGTTGCAAGCGCTACGTTGCTCTAATATGTTTTGTAGTACTTGTTTTGATAGAACTTTATGCTGTGTTCGCAATTGTGCAATCGTTCCATCAATTAATTGAAAATTTACACCGTCACTAAGAACTTTCTACAAAAGAAAATAAATACAAATATATATATACATATATACATAGTGCATAAGTTGTGAAGAGACAAAACTGGTTTTACAGCATTTCTGAGACATATGCACGTCTCCATTCTTAAGTGACTACGTCATACACCTTCATCGATGTTAATGTCGACTTTTCATACATTTTGAAACAGCAACTTTACAACTATTTTACCTCACCTGAAGTTCATATTGACCATGCACATTGCGCCCCTCCTCCCTTTCCGGTTGAAAATATATTTCCTCTATACTCTCCAGTATTTCCTGGTCGGATTTTTGTGCGTGGGCATTAGTATTAAGATTATCGGAATTAGATGCATCACTTTTACCACTTGGTGATAACGATGGTCCATTGCTTTCAGCTTTCAGTTTATTTGCAGAAACTTCCGTAGGCTCAGTTGTGACACTCTGTATGAAGTAATCGGAGAAACCCATAGCTGGTATTTTCAACTGCCTATTGGTCTGCAGATTTTTTAGGTGTGAAATAACTCTTCAAACTATATCAAAGATATATAAATACCTGTTTATGCAGCAAGTCCATAAACTTTGTTTTAATTTCATCCATTCTTGCTCTTGGATGATGCATTTTTCTGATAAACCCGTTGGAAGGAGAGTTCGCAAATGTTTAACAATAAAAATGACAGTTCAAGAAGGATGATAGGTTGCATTGAAACTGGTTTTTTAATGTAGAATTTATTGTAGTTTTTCAAAAATGTCATTTATTAAATATCTTCATTACATAAAAAAAATCATATTATTAATTTATATTTCATTGTAATATAAAAAAATTAAATGTAGTAAGTCAGAAGTTGACCGAAATTAATTTGATTAATCTTTTATCGATTTCATATATTGGACTGTAATCGATTTTATTATTAAATCGCTATGCTTAGCGTAAAAATACCAAGAAAATACTATAGTTAATTATATTCATGGAGTGATGAATGTCTTTTCTAACAAATATTTTTATTTGAAATGAATAAATAGCAAAATGTCAGCATTTTGTGAGAACATTAACAATGTCGAGATGGATCTTCCAGTACTATTGGCCAATTTGAAAAAATCTTGTGGATTATGGTTCCTAAACGAGCGACATACAACCGTCATACTTAATAATGAAAACAACTTATCCTCATATGAAAACATAACAACAGCCACTGTGGAGATATTGCGTCATGGATTGAGTATAAAATCAGGAGATACTATAACGGTGAGATATCATCTCTAAGGACCATTTATGTTGTGAAAAGTGTGTGTTTCTATTTGCATTGGAAGTAGTATTAACATATTTTTTCATTGATTTATTGTTTGCTACATAGATATGCAGTTAAGTGTTAGTTGGTATAATTTTTATATGTACGTACGTACTCAAGTAAGATAAACCTTGAATTAAATACGTATTGATGAAAAAGAAGCTAAATGTGAAATGATTGAGTGCTAAATGCCTAGGCTATTACTAAATAGAAATAAAAGATTTTACTGTTGAAACTTATTCGTATTTGATATTCTATGACTATATAGTAGTTCTTATATACAGCATTATAATTTAAAAATATGTCTCTTCGTTTTTAAGGCGAACTGTAAACCAACAATTGGTTTTTCTAGTGAAAATATTTACCTTGATAGCCCCGACGGTTTTAAGAAGCTTGTGGAAGATTTTGAATGGGTTTGTAGATCGGCGCAGATTCGTGATTCAATTGCAGGGGATTTCTCTATAGAACCGGCGTCATATGGGAGCAGCATAAAACAAAATGAGGGTGCATCATCTGCAACTAATGACAGTGAACAGTATTCAATTGAAAGATTCCTTTGTTCCTGGGTGCTACGTAATTTACAGTCGAATTGCTTAAGTGTTTGTTTGCAAGTTTTGGTTGCAGAAAAAGAGTTGATCAATACATACTACACTAAAGAAGCATTTCTACGCAATGAGGCGTATTCGACGTCACTTTTTATTTGCTTATCAGCTGTAGAATTGAACCAATACAGTCTGATAAGTCAAATAGATACAAAACTTTACAGTCCAAAATCCGGTATGGGAACCGTGACTACTACAACGAGCAGTAAGCACAGGCGGACCTCTTCACATCCCACATTCTCCATTTCTCCATCTAAAAATACAAATATTAGAAAGACTGGTGAAAAATATGAGGAAACGAATGTGGAGAAAAGCCCCACAAAAAACGATTTACGTAAAACGGTAATTAAGAAAATTTTGTACATTTAATATAATAATACTATATCGAAGTATATTAAAATTTGATATTTTTTTATTTAGACTGATTTTACAAATGTTGCATCGAATTCGAGCGTCCCTGCTTTACTAACATTTCGTAAAACGAAAAGCCTTCCAACATTACTATACAAACCCTACGTATCGTTCGGATTATTTTTCGACGAAAAGCCTAGACCACGTTCTAAAACAATGGCTATTAAGTCGCAAAATTGTTTACGAAAAAATAATAGGCAGCTATTTGTTAAATCAAATGATTTTAATGCGGAGCCTACTCTTGTCATTACGCCTAAAATAAGTAATAACAGTAGTTCCTGTTATTCCAATTCTACTACCAACACAAGAACCACATCAAATTCATTGTGCTCTGGAAGCGATTTCACTGACATCGAACTGTCTTCGAAAAATTGTCAAAACCAACAGCAAATATTTGCTTCAGCTAAATTAAGGCAGAGATCGTCTTCCTCAACACGTACGCCCTCCATTTCTTCCTTTAATACTGCACCTACCTGTCGCATAGAATTAATTAATTGCGATGATATCAAAATCTGGACCGATCAGGCTTATGAACAAACTCAAATCCCACAAAGTGGTTTTAATCGGGAAAACTCGACAACCGATCCATGTACCATACCGCAAGGTTTTGAACCATTCAAACAGGTGATACCCAATATCATTGTACATAAATATAATAAATATAAATGTAAATTATCTCTTACAGAAAGCGAAAAGTGCAAGCCCTTTAGGCAGTTTTCTATGCAATCTATTCAGCACTCCTCCCACATATACCCATTGGTCCATATCCAATCAAAATGATAACAGTTATGTTAGCAATTTAGATGATACCGAAACTAATGGTTTTACTGCGGCATTAGCCTTTCCTTGTAATTTGAAACAACCTGCAGATAATTCGAAAATCTCGTCTGGTGTCTTCGATGCATTCATGCCAGTTTATGGACAAAAGTTGCGTTCACGGCACTCCCAAAGCTTGTTTGAGGATGGTATAAGTACGCTAGATTATAAAACAACAGCAAATGATTCAGCAACGGATATAACAGTGAAAAGTGGTGCCAAATTAACTGAAACCTCGAAACCATTGCCAAAATATGAACAATCGTTAACAGACTTTTTAGAAACTTCGCAAATGTCTCGAAATAACACTGATTTGGAAAAAGAAAATGCACATTTTCGTGTATCGGAAGCGATAATATCAGCAATGGAACATATAAAATGGGACAACAGCACCGAACCAGAGAAAAAGTGGCGTCGTAGAAAAGGTATTTTTCAATAATATTGTAGTTTTTTTATAGATTATTTACTTATGTTACTTATACATATTTTAGAAGCAAGTCAATCTGCAACTACCCAAATCGCCACAGATTGCTTGAGCAGTGAAAATACAAACAGTCGTATACATAAAACTGATGTATGTATTCAGAAATTTACATTTAAAATTAACAAACCTAATTATATACCAAACAAAATTTAGACTTCTCCCGATGAAGCCAGCGAACATATACCTTACGCAGAGTTAGATGAGAATTGTTTAGATTCACTTTCTGCTGAAGTGGTTGGGCTCTCACTTATTTCCAAATTTAATGACAAACATCTGCCTAAAGTGTCCGAGTTGAAATGGTTGGTTTCAGAGGAAGATACGCCGCAACAACTATTGCCAATGCCTGATAATAGTCCTACCTCGAATCCCGATGAAAATGTGATACAACCGCTTACACGCGGCACACGTTATTGGGCTCCACCACGCCAACAAATTATCTTTACGGATCATCCCTCGTCAAAGTACTACTGCTTATGATTTTTAATGAAAGCGACTTTCAAATTGATAATTTTTTGTCTTTTACAGTCGCAAAGAGTTGATACAAAAGCAGAACAATCGTTGCGCAGGCTGTGGAATGCGAGTTTCTCGGCAATATATCAATAGTTTTCGCTATTGTACGTATCTCGGTAAATATCATTGCACCGGATGTCATCGCAATCAAATATCACCGATTCCTGCAAAAATTTTACAATCGTAAGTGACTTTATACTGTATAATGTTGGTCAATATTGCATATTTCGTTTTCAACGTATTTGTGTCAATACATTTAGTTGGGATTACAAGTGCTATCCTGTTAGCGTTTTCTCTTACCGCTTATTGGATCAGATGTATACGTATCCGCTGTTTTATGTGCCAGACTTAAATCCTGCCCTATACATAAATAATAAAGGGCTATTATCCGCGCGAAAGAAGCGTGTTCACTTGAAATTCGTTAAAGATTTTGTAAAGACCTGCCGTTTTGCTGTCAGGTGCGTGGAATCATTTCCGAGAATTTTAAAATTGAACCAAACTAATGTTATCTTTATTTATAGAGAGCAAGTTTACTTCGAAAGCATACCAGAACACATTGCAAACGATCCGGATATTTGGTCATTGTCTGATTTCATTGATGTGCGAAACAAAAGTATGCAACACTCAATCGATGAACTCATTGAAAAATGTGAACATCATATTTTCAATTGTGTGGTGCGTTGCAACAACAAATATCGATTTATATATAATACTTTTTGACATTTTAGACTATTAACAAATTTTATATTTTTAATTATATTTTGTTTTGATAATAGTTGTGTACAGCCCGTGGATTTCACTGTGAATTTTGCCAAAAGGATCAAGTGATATATCCATGGCTACAAAATGTGTTTCGTTGTGATCGTTGTGGTTCTTGCTTTCATTTGAGCTGCTGGAAGTTAATGTCCAATACGTGTTGTAGATGCCAAAGAATAATCAAAAGACAAGAGATTGTTGTTACCTGAAACGCAATGCAACAAAGTTCAGCACCGAAAATCCGAATGTAACTTTATCCAAATTCGAATATAATACAAACGCAAATATTATAAAAAGAGTATATACGTACAAATATTTAGATATTACTAGTAGAATTTGATCTGTAAATATTGCTTAGCAGAATACTAAAAATAGTACGCAAAATTGTTTTTTTTTTTTTTGTTTTTATTGTAATTCAACTTGGAGACAAATACTGTATAGTTTGTTCTATCTTTATCACTATTTTATTTATATGTATTAAACTATATAATCAAATGTTAGGGTATTTATTGGAGTACGATTACAGAAAAAAATTATATTTTATTGTTATAATTATTTAATAATTAAAAAGTCTTTAAAAGAGGTACTCTTTTAAATTCGAATGATGTTTAGATTTTGAAATTAGTTTAGTCTAAATATGTCTCCATTAAACATTTTTTTAGGTTATATAGTGGCTGTCGGTTTTTTATTAATGAGCAAATATTGCCATTTATAATATATAGCTTTCAAAGCTTATTTTTATACAGTACTAAGTATTAAACGAAATTTAAGTGAGTAATCTTATTTTTATTGTAATTTATATATATGTACATTTTGTACTATTCTAATCAAAATTCTAAACTGTGGTATTTGCTGAAATGTATACGAAAGTATTTTATTGAATGAATAACTATCGAATTTGTATTTATATTTACTTTGAGCCTTCAATATCTGTGCTATTTTAAAATTAGTAAAGTAATTAGTAAAACAACTTAAAACGAAAACATTATTAGACCAAAATCAGTTTTTTATAAAAATAAAATACAAATTACTTAATATATTTAATTATAAATAATGTTTTCTTATTGGTTATACATATTTATGAAAAGGACAAAATGTATTTTATTTAAAGCGAAGTTTATAAAAAACCTGCATTTTTAATCAAATGTAGTAAAAGAGCGATAAGGAAGTGTATTTAACTTTAACTTTAAGTGACTATATTTTTTCCGGCAAAATCCGGGACGGGTTTTTACATATTATCCATATTACAATTCACTGAAAATCGCGACATATGATAGGGGGGGAAAGCAACACAACTTTATTCGAAAAGAATGGAAATGATTAAAAAGAAAGCAAAGTAATATTAAAAAATTTAATCACTGTCTGGTTTATTCGTTTGTATATAAGTTGATGAAGTGGGCGGTCTTTCCGGCATTGTTGAAGACGTCTTCGGTCTGACGTATTTCTCTTCTTGACTGATTTTTCGAAGAAGCCCAGGCTGCAATTTTAAATGAGTGAAAAATTCCAAAAAAGAAATTTTAAAATTTTTCTTCACAAATAAAATCGATTTCACGGTGCTGCTGACTTGTAGGCGAGTTTTTTCGTATGTCCACATTCTGTTAATTGTGGAAAATTTTCGTTCCACTGGTGCCGATGTTCCTGGTAGTGCCAGAGCGTATTCAACGATCTCTGAAAGCTCAACGATTGGTGTTTTTTGCTTCAACAGAAAAGTAAAACATTAAACCCAACGTTTGTCAGCAGATTTCTGCTCTTTGCTTCATTCATCAATTCGTTTGTCTACTATATACTGAGAAATATAAGTGAATTGTTCGAACAGCTTAAGTGAAGTAGTGTCTGATGCTTTCAAAATATAATTTTTTGTGAGGAAAATAAACGTTTTCTCAATTTTTTCACAGTCGAGTTTATCAGTGAGTAGCACCCAACCAAATAGTTTTACATGAGCAAACTGTTGAGTCCATGCCTCAAGATATTAGTAGAAATCACCTGATTGACATATTGAAGGCAAATATGAGAAAACTAAAATTGAGGTGTAAAATGAAAATTTTACTCGCCTCTACTTAAAAATGTTTCAAATCATAGTCTTCTTTATTCAGGTTTTCCATTTCCGCTTTTACTTGCATATGAAAGTAATTGTGTTGGTTGGATGTTTGCAAATTGTTCATTAAATGTTGCAAGTGTTTGTAAATTGCAACTGCTGGAATATCATCGCCTTCAATTTTCTTTTTTGTTTCCTCGAAAATCAAGGTCTAAAATTAATGAGATAATAATTAAATATTATATTTTTCCGCTTTGGAAAAAATTTTAGTAAATAAAAATATATTTTCACCTGTTCATAAGCAAAAATGAACCAGTACGTTTTCAAAGGTTGGAACATTCGAATGGTTTTCGCCAAAGCTTCTCTCAAGCTAATGAACCGAGTTTTGCAGTAACCAACCAGTTGATCGTATTCGTCTCCAGAAATCTCGCAGATTGACTTCAATGCTTCTGTGCAAACGAAGTGCATGTAAAAATGAGTGTAGATCTGAACAACACTGCTCTCAATTTCAACATCGAGTGCATTACATGCGTTACGAATCGCATTATGTACGATATGCGCTGCACAACCTACATAAACTATGTTCGATTTTAATTTCTTTAATTTTGCAAAAACATTTCCTTCACTTTTTGGATCAACGTGACCGAAATTAATTTGCGCACTGTCACTACAGTAAGCGATCAATTTATCAGTCAAATCAAGATTTTCCAAGGCTCTTTTAATGAATGAAAAAATCATATCCGACGTTTCACCTTTTTTTTGTAAAAGTTCAATTATTTTACCATATAAAATAACGAATGACGACAGAAAACATCTTGATTGCTCTGCGATTGAAAGCGCTGGTCGACAAACAAATGAATCGGGCTATCTGTAAATTAGACTTGAGGAATTCCAATGCGTAAGGTGCAAAAACATTGGTTATTATCGCTTCACTTTTTGTTCTTCAATGTTATGATTGAAGTTTGAAGAGAAGCATCTGCTGCCACTTTGTCCTTTTTTCTTTTCAAATGATTTTCCATATCATTGCCTCTACCAGAGAACGTATATTATATATATATATAACATGGAAAATCATTTGAAGAGAGAAAAGGACAAATGGCAGCAGATGCTTCTTGCAGATGCTTCTTGCCATACTAATATATTATACTACTATATTATATATATATATATGAACGTTCTCTCTATAATATACGTTCTCTGTAATCTCTCTATTTATTTTTTAATATATTAGTATGGCAACACTGGTTTTTGAGATATTTGTTTTCGAGATATTTGCATTTTAAGTTTAAAATAACAAATTTTATTTTACAATTTCTCGATTTATGGTTAACTTTTCTTTTATATTAAGCACTTATTATACACTAACACTTCACTACAATGTTTCTACATATTTATTTTATATTAAATATTTAAATATTTGCTTTAAATAAGCATTTTATTTTTACACAATTTTCGTTATATGAACAATAACAAATGGGTTCCATGTTGTCAGATAATAAGTGTTGCCATATCCAAACGAATGAAAGCAATAAAAATAAATAAAAAACCCAATTACCCTCTACAAAATATTATGAACTAAATTTTCCAGTTTAACAAAAGAAAAAGGTTTTATGGCTTAAACGTAGGTTTTATTGCATCTGATAATTTCACCATGATGCTGATTTGCTATATTTTTAGGCCATATGTATTCATATATCAAATTTTCAAAATCTTCATTGTTATTATAATTATCCTTAATAAAAGTTGCAGTTTAAAGGAAGTGATATACCCTCTTTAACATTACTTTCTTTTTGTTTAGATTTCTTATATGCACCGGCCGCGCTTCAAAAAAATAACTCTGGTCGGTCCAACACCGGGGTGTTCATAATTCAATCGCGTCAAACTCCTTTCTGTACTGGCGGCCTTCGGCCGCGCTTCAAAAAATTAACCCTGGTCGGTCCACCACCGGGGTGTTCATAAATCAATCGCGTCAAACTCCTTTTTGCACTGGCGGCCTTCGGACGCGCTTCAAAAAAATAACCCTGGTCCGTCCACCACCGGGGTGTTCATAATTTAATCGCGTCAAACTTCTTACCGCACTGGCGCTTCGGCCGCGATTCAAAAAAATACCAATCCAATACCATAATTTATCAATAGAAGGGAATGAACAAAATTATAGTATATGTATATGGGGTATAAAACTCTTTTATTGTTAATTTTAATTCGCTTTTAAAATATAAATATATATATATATATATATATATAATAGATATGGCAAAACTTGTTAGCTGTCAACATGGAACCCATTTGTTATTGTTCATATAACGAAAATTGTGTAAAAATTAAATGCTTATTTAAAGCAAATACTTAAATATTTAATATAAAATAAATATGTAGAAACATTGAAGTGAAGTGTTGGTGTATAATAAGTGCATAATATAAAAGAAAAGTTTACCATAAATCTAGAAATTGTAAAATAAAATTTGTGAAATTTTCAACTAAAAATGCAAATATCTCGAAAACTATAAGTTTCCGGCGGCATATTCGTGATCTGGAGAATCTCCTCTATCCAACCATACCCCTCTTAACACTGAAATCGTGGGATGCTAAACTAAAGCCGACCGCCCATTTTATCCCCGAAAACCTGAGACGGTATACTAAAGCCGACCCTTAATTTGAAAAACAATTTTGTTATATGTTACTAAAATTTTTAAATTAAAAAATGTTTTTTTAAATTTTAATCCAAAATGTTTGGGATAAAAAATTTGACTTTTAATAATTAAAAAATTCGCAACCCTGATTAGGAATAAATCAGTGGAAATTATCCTCTTTTAATAAATTACCGAAAGTATAATCTCGATACAATTTTGAAAGTAACGGCGAAAATTGCATGTGAACGAACCTTAATCAATGAAGTGTGTTGGAAAAATGAATCAGCTGAGTGTCTCAAAGCATGCGATAAGAGATTGTATATGCAAAGAAATTCTATTTGAAACAACTAAGTATATATAAATTTCGCACTGTAAATTGATGAATTTAAAGAATTTTGTACGTTTATTAAAAAAAATGACAGTGGGTGAAAATGGCACAACTTTGGACTATCGCAATATGGTAATAATGGCACCGATGGTTCGAGTTGGAACTTTACCAATGCGTTTGATGGCGCTAGAATTCGGTGCTGACATTGTTTATACAGAAGAATTAATTGATTTGAAGTTAATGCGAAGTAAAAGGCGTGTAAATGGTAAGCGTGTATATGTGTTAGGATTTTATTATAATTAATGTTTTCACATATAACAGCTGCATTGGGTACCATTGACTTTGTCGACCGAAGTGATGGCACAATTGTATTTCGCACTTGCGCAAAGGAACGACAGCAACTTGTACTGCAGTTAGGAACAAGTGACGCAGAACGCGCATTAAGCGTAGGCAAGTTAGTCGAAAATGACATTGCCGGGCTAGATATAAATATGGGATGCCCCAAAGAATTCTCCATAAAAGGAGGAATGGGTGTAGCACTACTTGCTCAACCAGATAAGGCGGAGCATATCCTAACTACATTATGCCAAAATTTGAGCATTCCAGTAACCTGTAAAATTAGGTGAGTTTAAATTGACTACACACTCATGAAAATAAGACTAATTTAAGGCAATACAGAATTTTACCAGACCTCAATGATACAATCAAACTGGTGCAGCGTTTTGCAACTACAGGAATAGCTGCTATTGCGATACACGCGCGTACGCGAGATGAACGACCACAGCACGCGCCACACCCAGGCAAGTATTACAAATATTAGTAAATAAATTAATTTACATTTTACGCCTTCAATAGATTTTATACGGGAAATTGCGAAGGCGGTCGATATACCAGTGATTGCAAATGGCGGTTCGAAAGAATTTCAAAATTATAAAGATTTAATAAGCTTTCGCGATTTGTGCGGCGCTACAAGTGTTATGGTAGGTAGAGCTGCACAATTGAACGTGTCTATTTTCCGAAAAAAAGGTAATTATTTTTTAAATTAATTAATAAAAAAAAAAAAGAATATCTATATATATATATATATAATATATAATAAATATTAATTATCTGTTAGGAATGCTGCCAATGGATGATATTATTGTTAAGTATTTAAAGCTGAGTGTCGACTACGATAATGCTGCACACAACACGAAATATTGCGTGCAAAATATACTAAAAGAGTTGCAAGAATCACCGCGTGGTAAGCAATTTTTACAGTGTCAAACGCTACAACAAATGTGGTAAGTTTTGTTACATATATAGATATATGAATTGAATGTCTTTTCAAGATATTTTCCCTTGCAGTGAAATCTGGTCGCTTGGCGATTATTGTTATCGCAAACAATTGGAACTGAAAGAACGTGGAAACTTTGGAAGACGTGAAGTGACGCCTGGCATGATACCTGATGACGACCCCAGTGAAGGTCCCGAGAAAAAGCGCAAAAAAATCGATATACCGCCACTAGAGGCTGATGTTGTTCAACATAATATTGCATTCTTGCGTTCAAATTATAATAGCGGTCTGTATAAAAAAAATTTGTCAATTTTTGCTTCTTGTTTTCAACTTATTTTTCACAATATATACATAGATACACAATTGCCAAAAACAAAGCTCTACACGTATGCTGGTCGTAACAACATAAGCATAGCGCAATATGAAACGCAACGTATTGATAAACTTTTTCGTGCCATTTGCACGTTCAATGGCAAACGCTATACGAGCTCATTTTGGGAAAAAAACAAAAAACAGGCCGAGCAAGGTGCAGCACTGGTGTGTTTACTCGACATCGGCGAAGTAACGGAAGGTGATTTGATAAAAAATGGTAGCATATTACGGTGATATATTGATTATTTATGTAAATACTGTTTGTACATATTTTTACTGCAATGAATACAATGAAACTAATTTGAGCTGCACTGCTAATACAACATATACAATTGTTTATCTAATGTTTCATAGTCAGAACAAGGAAAAGCGTTAAATTCGGTTTCACCGAAGCTATAATACCCTTCATAAATACAAAATATTTCATGTAAGAACTTAATTTTGTTCGATCAGTTTGTATGTGAGCTATATGCTACTATAGTAGACCAAACTGAACAATTTCTTCAGAACAAATTTGTACCGTTATCTTGGACAATAATACAGGCAATATTTCGTGAAGATATCTCGTCCAATAAGTTTTCCATACAAGGACTGGATTTTGATCGATCTGTTTGTATGAGAGCTACATATATGCTATAATGATCCGATACCGGTGTGCAAAACTTAAGATTAATATCTCAAAAACCGAGGGATTAGTTTTCATACATATATACAGACAGATGGACACAGCTAAATCGGTTCAGCTCGGCATGCTGATTATTCAGATCTGCAATTTATAGGGTTTCCGACGTTTTCTTCTGCGTGTTACAAACTTCGTGGCCCAGGGTCTAAATATGAAAAGCGTAGGTTAATACATGATAACCGCATATTTAAATAAGATGTGATCTAATTATGTTACGTAAAGCGTTATGTTACGCTTTCAATCATATATTTTCCCAATATGGTTATCTTGCTTTTATTTTGAACTTTATACTCTCGTATAAAATTTGCGTAATTTGTGTATTAAACTTAATTTAAAAGTTCTATTTTACTGTTAACATTTATTGCGGTTCATGGTGTTCTCTCTTATTTTTGTTGACGGTTGACGGTTTGATGATGGTTTTGTAGTTGTGGTTGTTGATGTTGCTGCACGGGTAGTTGGCTGTGTCTCTGCTGCTGCTGCTGTTGCTGCTGATGATGATGATGATGATGATGATGATGATGTTGAGTATGGTGAGGCTGACGCTGTGGTGGTGGCATCATGTCATTGTCATCTCGATGTCCATAGTTGGCAATAAAGTGCAGTAAACCAGACTGTGTTATCGGATAACGAATACTTTCCAAAACCGCTGTAACATAATAGTTAAGAAAATGTTTTTTTATAAATTAATAATTTGTGTAATTGAGGTTAGTAGCTCACACTGGGCAGTGTTAAAGCCATTTGGAAGCGTTTTGTCTGTGCGTTCGCGCATAAATTCCCATTCGCCCTTCTGATTTATGGCGCATTCAATGATCTTATTATCTAAATTTTTTAATGCTTTTGTATATTTCATCTTTGCGAAATATTCTGTTGTTCCACCGACATAAAGGTAGCCTACTTTCTCAGTTAACATGCTGAGTAAAAAAAACGAAATTGTTTTAGTATATATTGAAAAAAATATATGAAATAAAACATTGCACTAACCCCGGGGCACTTTCCACTTTTATTTTAAGACGAAAATCGATTGAGTTCATATTACTAGGTTTCCATTTAAGTACGTCGTTGCATACGCCAGCTGTATAGGGCTAGAAAATGTGTTATTATTGAAATGACAGCTGCTCTAATTGTTCATTTATTTTTTCTCAATCTTACTAGTTTTGAAGGTTGAAAAATTAAACCATCGGGTACATGTAATAACGATTTCGAGAATTTTTCACCCAGTAAAGAGGCAGATTGGCGAATGTCCCAAAATTCTTTATTGCGAATGCTGAATGGTTCCAACGGTCTATTGATCAGTCCTTTGATTATAGCCTCGTAGCGTGGTTCTAAAAATATGCGTTTGAAGAGATGTACAAAGTAAGTTTAGTTCGTTTAGGTATAAACACACCTATAATTTCCTTTTTGATACAATTCAGCCGGTCGGGATAGAAGGGCTTCGAATCGATGTCATAATTCGAAATTTTAATTATGTCGTATATGAGGTAGCGCGGTATAGATTCACCATTGAGTTTGTCAATTACCATTTCCTAACGTAATAAAATTATTAGGTTTATTGTTTAATAAAAATTTAATTTGATAGCTCACTCCATCTAAAAGTGTGTCTTCTAAGTGTTGGCCTAAATTGCCAGCTTTGACAAATGTTATATTTTCAACTTGGAAACAAGTATTGTTCCTGTCGAAAAAGTAAATCTCATCACGTTTATTAATAAGCATCATGTACCTGTGGTGGAATAATTAAAAATGTAGTAACAATAAATATTATAAACACATATGCGAATATACTGCTTACCGCGTGCCATCCGCCTTCCATGACACTCGATATGGTATCTCGCTTAAACGTTTTAAATTATTCTTATCCATAGATACCGGTTGCGCACCAGGAAAACCTGATTTTTCCCAACCGCACATTTCCTGTACCTTTAGCTGTAAATCTCCCAACCTTGGTTGATCAGTTACTTGCACTACACCTGGAACGCCGCTCATGAAGGTGGCATTTTTAATTACTAACTCCCTGCGTCGCTTCTTTTTACGGCCACCACCATTGGAAACGCCCGGTTCCTCCTCTGTTTGATCATCTTCTTCGTACTCCTCTTGTTCATCGCCATTAACGTTGTTTACGTCGTCTGCTTTACGCTTATGCGAGTCGTAGGAATTTGCGTAATTTCCATCACCGTCATCATATTCTAAACACCAAGCTGGTAGGGTAGGCGCTGGTCGAGGGTCCTCCTCTTCATCGTACCGACGAAATAACTCATTAATATAGTCCTGTTTGTAAATTCCTGGTGGACGTGCCTCTGCAAATATGGCTATTGCTGCTTCAATTGAGTAATCCAGTCTTTCCACTAAATAGGAAGCAATCAAAAATCCCGTTCTATTAAAACCATGTGTACAATGTACGCCTACAGTTTCAAGGGGACGTTCTTTGACGAAGCGGTCAACTATTTCAATAAATGATTGGGTTTGTTCTGGTGAAGGTGTTTCTCCATGGCCGCGACACTGTAGCTTGACATATTGAGCATCGCGTGATTCAACAATTTGACGATTGTAAAAACGCGTTGTGTTGGTCAAATCAATCCAAAGGCCCAGTTTTAACTAAAATTACAAATTATTATTGACAAAATTATACGAAAATAATATACAATATTAATCTACAACAGCCAAATCGAATATGTATATACATATGTTAACAAAAAAGTAGTTGTGCCTACAATATTGGCGACACGTTGCAGGGTACTAGTACAGACCTTTATTGCTTTAAAATAGTCAAAAATCATTTCAGGATGAAAGAGACATTCAATTGGCACTTGATCATCGAATGCACTACTCAATGGTGTTTTAAATGCCAAAAATCTTTCAGCAATTAATTTTTCGCTCTTTCGTGGGCAATTTAGCCATCGATTTGGTATTGGCCCAGGTCTTGAGTTTCGGGACATCTTTCTAAATTAGCACTTTAACACCGGAAAAGAGGTGTGTGCTTTTGAACTGCACAATAAAAATCACTATTTATATTTCACACGCACGGTAGCTTTTTTGTTAATTTTTTGTACACAATTTTAACCAAAGCCACAGACACAATAAATTAAAATTTGCACTATACTGTCACTTACAGCTGATACTCGAAGAGGATGGACGTACAATTTTAGTCGATAGCTATCGATTTTGTTTCTTGGTCTAAATTTTCCTAACGCACTTTGACATACCAAAATCTTGAGTTATAATTTGTTAATAATTATTATTACTTTTAAGTAATTCAGATTATTTGTTCCGCTTATTTTTCAATATTTTTTAGGTTTCTATTATATTATTATTTGAATTATTCTAAGCACTGAATTTCAGTACATAACAATCATCCTGAGGTGTTCCGGTTCCACTTCGTCTCTAAAAGTGAACCAATCAGTTTTGTGGAGTTGCGGCGTTTTGCAAGTACTCGTTTCTTGCATCTAAATATTTCTAAACTTTATTTAATTACAAAAAATAAAATAAAGATAAACTATTATGTCAGATACCGAAAAAAATATACCCGAAGGTTGGGAAGTTCGCAAAAGTCGGTCAACGGGTAAGCAATATATGAGTTTTATACAATACTTCACTGGTGAATGTTATCGCCAACGAACATAAGCATTGTGTATATCGTATTTACAGAAAGAAAAAAAGTAAAATTGGGGTATTTTTGATTTTGCAGGATTGACTTATTATTTGAATATTTATACAAAAGAATCCCAGTGGGATTTACCGTCTGAACCCGCAAAAAAGGAGTCGTCTGGTCCTAGTGAAGTGCGATGTTCCCATTTACTTGTTAAGCATAAAGGTAGTCGCCGTCCTAGTTCATGGCGCGAAGAAAATATTACACGATCTAAAGAAGAATCACGTGCGATTTTAGAAGACTATCGCAAGCAGATTGAGTCTGGTGACACTACATTAGCCGCATTAGCAACGAAGTACTCGGACTGCAGCTCTGCTAAACGTGGCGGAGATTTAGGTCCATTTGGCAAAGGTATGTAACCACAATTATTGTACTTATTTATGTACTGTAAACTTTCATGTTTATTTTGTTTTAGGTCAAATGCAAAAGGCATTTGAAGATGCAGCATTTAGTTTGAAGGTTGGACAAATGTCGAAAATTGTCGATACAGACTCCGGACTACATATAATTCTACGTACGGAATAAACAATTTATATTAACATTTAACGCTCCTACTCGTTTAATTAACTGAAATCGCATTTAAAAATTTCTAATAAATAAAGTTTTTTTAAATTGTAATTACGTTCATATTGTTAGCTAAACAAGTAATCCATTAAAATTATCAAAAATACATATGATAAAATTAAAATAAACCAAACGATACTATATTAAAATTCCATTTTATTCATTAACAGTTTTTGCCCAGCACCTTTTTCTTTTTTTAGCACTTCACTTAATGGCTTAAGGAGCTTTTTAAGCGCCGATTTCACAGCTTCAGTATTTTGCTCGAAAACATTTAATAATATAAAACAGGCCCGGTTTACATTTAACCAATCTCGCAGCTGAAAGCAAATAAGTTAGATTAATATAAGTGATACATGTGTATCAAATATAGTATTTCTTGCCGTATCATCATTGAGTTTTTGAACGAGGATTGATCCAAATGTTTCTGCGCTCTCGTTTTGGGACAGACGTTCTTTGTCATTTTTGATAACCTTTTTCAAAACAATATGCAGACCAGATTCCTCAATGCCTCGTACTGTTACTACAGCGACCGGTTCTTTAGTCTTTACTTCATCATCCGATGAATCGTTCTGTGGCTCATCAACGTCAGTAGCAGCTGCCAAGCGTTTTTGTTTCTTCGCTTTGGTAGCTTCTGCAATTATTTTCTCTACATCGTGAATGTTTTTTGCGTTTTTCGCCTTTCCTTCCTCTTCTACAGTTACAGTCCATGTTGTATCCACAATAACATCAGCGAGTGCTCTGGAAGCTTTCTGAAAGTACTCTTGGGTTACTAAAAAGAAAATGGAAGCAAATAGGTGGTTAATGTAGAAAAGTGGCAAGCATTATTATAAAACGGAAACATACATTTCTTCAATATTTCGGCGGTGACGAGACCTATATGTCTATTAGACATCCAAAATTTCGGATCTTCAGAAATGGCTGTGGATAAGGACTCTTCGATCTGTTCGAATATTTCTTTACGTCTAACATCTGTATCTTTTTTTCCATATTGCAAGCCATCATTAATGCTTGTAATGAAGCTGGGATGGAAACAATTTGTATCAGCAGGCACAACGAACCATTCGATGACACGACGACCCCATTGATTTTCCATCAAAGTTTTCAATTCGGGATGCAAATTGTCGTATATTGCCTTCTTAGTTGCTTTTGTGTCATCAAGACAGTTAACTAAAGCTATTAAGAAAATATGACCATGTTCATGTGTACTAATTTTTATCAAGTGATCTTTGATAGTTTTTATTATAGCCTGAAAGAACGAAATATTTGCGGTTAAAACTTCTATTTAAAAAAAAGAGTTCAAGGTCAATCAAAATAGGAACAAATTTAACTGACGTAATTGGTTTTAAATAAAACACATACGTTAGTTAATAAAAACAACTTACCCGCCTATTTTTTGGAGTGGATTTATAAAAACAAATAATTGCCGCTTGAGTGCCATCCTTAGTTGTTAGCATAAGTGGTATTAGAGGCGCAAATGCACTAACGGTTTCCTCTATTTTATCATCTTCACATACTGTTAAATATTCCAAAATGACTGCATGCACCAAAGAATTATCCACTAACTGTTTGTTAGCCAAATGGTCGATGTTGGATTTAACAGCACTCAATATGGACAATTTCATATCGATGGCGTCTTTGAAAGTATCAGCAAGTGTTTTTACATCGTCATCTTTTGACTGACGATATAGTTCTCCATAGAATTCTTGACGTAGATAAATACGTTGTTTTGTATTAGCTACAGTATGATAGGCGTGGTCAAGAATTTTACTAGATATATTGTGACCAGCCAAACGTATTACATTGCCCATAAAACTATCAACAATTTTTGATTTGATAGTAGGTGAGCCATATTTGAACATTCTTAGTACGCAAAAGTGAGAATATTTAGAAACACACATTTCCACCACTAGAGGTAGTAGTTTCTGAAAAAAAATATATTAATGAAAATAAATTAAACAAGACGTATGTGTTACCTCGGATAATTGATCACGAAGTAAAGGCGAAGAATGCTTCAACATGCATTGTATGATACGTGCGGTATCGTGTGCCATTATTAACTTTTTTATCACATCGCCACGATTCAGAATATTATATAGTTTTTCAACCAGCTCAGCTTTTTTTTCTGTACGACGACTTTAGGAATATAAATTACAATGTTTTCGTAGTAATATATACAAGAAAAAACACAATTACCATTTCAGCTTTTCATAAATTTGTTTAGCTTCCACTGACACCTCATACGAATCCTTGGCTTGCTTACGTTTAAGTTTCAGCTCTTTCTTTTCTTGTTTGAATTTACGCCAGTCGGTTTTTTCGCCTTCGGCAGGTTCGCTCCCCTTTTCACCCAACTTCTTACCTGTAGCATTCTTATTAAATTTGCCGCTGCCATTAAACTTTCCCGGAAATTTGTTGGCTCCCGGTTTTCCTAAGAATTTATTTGTACCTGATTTGGCAAAAGTTTTTGGAGGAAATTTGGATTTTCCCGTGGAGTTTACCTTAGATTTGCCTTTACCTCCTTCGAATTTCGAGCCTTTTTTATTAATAGGTCCATCTGTGTCATTCTCCGACTCACGTTTCTTCGCTTTAATCATTCTTATTTACAAGTTTTTAAACAAATAGGCAGATTTTTATGTAAAATGCAGTCCACGTGCGTTCAAACTGTTGTTTTCTTTAGATTAAGTGATTTGAAGTATGTCGTGTCTACAATTATTGCAACTCTGTTGGTTCGTTTCCATGTTGTTCTGTGTCATTTACCGCATCGTATCATCCAACGTTGCGTTTGTAAATTTCTGTACTCCTTTTTCAGTGCTTCTGTTTTTTGCCACAATTTTCACGGCGTCTTAAAAAATAAAGGTACATTTTGTGTAGAAAAAAGCATTTTACTCGAAAGTTTTTGAGCTTGATTATTCATTATTTTAGGGGTTGAGAGTTTAAAAAAATTTCTTCAACAAAAAGAGTATAATTTGTGAAAAAAATTATTTTCAAGTTTTAAAGCGGTGAAAATTAAAATGGGGAGAGTACATAAGAAAAAAATCGCAGAATATGCGGAATCTGCTGAAAATGAAAACGAACAAGATGAGGAAACTAAAAAGAGCGCCACGGTGGAGTCCAATAGCGATGAATCGGAAGTTGAAGCTGGACGTGAAGAAGGTGATGATGGAAAAAAAAAACAAAGCGTTGTAAGAGATCAAACACATCCCGAAGGGAATACCGATGATGAATTCCATTCTGTACAGGGTAGCGTCTCCGATGACGACCAGGAAGAGGAAGGAAGTAGCGGTACGAGCGGTAAGAAGGGAAACAAACGCAAAGCAGCACCTGAAAAACTGACCGATGGGGACAATGATAATTTGGACAGTGATGATGAGCCATTAAATGGTGGCGGTACTGGTGCTGGTGGAGCTAAGAAGGGGCGCAAGTCGACAGCGGGTGGAAAACAGAAAGCTGCAGGAAAGAATGGCAAAGCCGCTGGTAGGCGTGGCAAAGGCAAAAAAGCACAAACTAAAGCTCTTGTTGTAGAGGATGAGGACGGAGGGGATGAGGAAGTATACGAGGTATGGGCAGATTTAATTTACACATAAAAATTTATTATTTCAAAATTATCGGTAATCAATAGGATTTAAAATATCGATAAACGATATTTGATTCAATTTAAATATTAAAGTTTTATGTGCATTTTAATAAAAATAAAAATATAAGGCCATTTCGTCATGAGTTCGTTGAAAATGGTTTACGGTTAGAAGCAAGCTCTATGTTACTATATAAAACTAAAGCACACAATTTGATAATTTTATTTACAAGGTTAAAGATATAGTGGGGCATAAGATAGAACATGGTGTTACTTACTACTTGATACGTTGGAAAGGATACACCAAGGATGACGACACATGGGAGCCAGAGGATACACTATCGTGCCCAGATATAATTGAAAGATATAAAAATAAGGTATTTCTAAACGGAATATATTTGCTTTGACTTAGATATTTACATAGAATTTTCTTTTTTTAGCAATCGGCTAGCAAAACAATTAAGAAAAGTGGTGTTGCAGCAAAGAAGGGTCGTCCAATAAAAGGCGAATCATCGGCTGATCCAAACAAAGAATGGGAGGTAGACAAGATAATTGACTATGCCGAAGAGAAGAATCAACGTATTTTTCGCATACGTTGGAAGGGATTTGGACCGAAGGCGGACACTTGGGAACCGGAAGCGAACTTGTCATGTGACGAAATCATTGATAAATTTATGAAACGCATGAAATCACAAGAAAATGTATCATTTAAAGAACTTCGTGAAGAGCCAAAAAAAACTAAACGGCTTGTAAATGAAACATCGCCACGTACAAATTATCATAATCCAATTGGGCGAAAATCAAAACGCGCTGTATCAAAGAAAAGGTATGGGTAAGAGTTGTTAAAAAATAAATGCAAATACTTTTTATATAATTATCTTTTTAATTTGCAGGGTTTATTATGGTGATAGCGATGAGTAACTTGAAGTATAATGACATACTTTTTTGATGTCTTTATAGCGTTTCTTTTATCTGAAAGGATAATTTTTATATATATATTTTAGTTCCAACAATTTACTTTTGAATGTTAAAATTTTAACCGATATTGGTTTATTAGTATCTATCTCAATTCTATACGTCACCGCATGCTAAACAAAATCAATTTGACCGAATTTTAGAATTTTTAAGTTAAATCATTATTTCGCCGAATATATTGAAAAAAAAAGTAAAAATTGTACAACTATTCATATATACATACATATGTATGTACTTCCTCGGTGACATGATATGTACGTATTAGCGGTAATACATTTATAATGTATATTTGATTAAAATTAATAAGAAACATTGAATTAAACATTTTATCAACCATATGAAAATTATTTTTTTATAAAAAAGAAAAAAAAAAAATTAAACAAGTTCTAAAAATTGTAACCGTAGATTTATACAAAACTATAACTCTACACGATTTTAAGAATAAATATAATGAATGACAGCGTTTCAGTTTATACATATATTGCCAGCTAAACTACTAGCAACACGATTTTATATTTATCAATTACTGCTTTTGGTAATTTTTGTGCTAATATTCCCTTTTCATGAAACTATACATTCAAGCACGAAGCTTTTGTAGAACCACGGATTATAGTGCTGAAGGATGTTTTTTTTTTAATTAAATAATTGGATGAAAACGAAATTTTATCTGTTCCTTAATAATGCTTATATTTCATCTGAAATTTTTTTTATAACCACTATTTTTTGGCATTGATCTACATACCATATATTGACTTTTACTTGGAATTATTTGAATAAATTATAATAAGCAAAATATTAATCAGTGAAACTTACGTTATAGTCTCGTTCTTCCAAAGATGTTAATTTTTTCTTTTTACTTAAGCAACGATTTGCTTTGTTTATTTAGTTTTATTTCAATTATAGAACATAACATTTGCCATCGTAAAATAGCGGTTTTAATTATTTGAAAATGGATTTTAGTTATTTATATTGTAATATGAATGTCTTATGCAAGCGCTGGTTGTAAACCAAATCCAGGACCTTTCGGCTCTTCAGTAAGTGAACTTGGTTCACCTGCAGGTTCGCTGGCATAACGACCGTTGCGTGGACCGGGTGGTGAGGGTTTACCGGCTTTGAAGTCGGCCAAAATTTGTTGCATGTCTTTAGCTGTTAAATCTTCCTGCATCGACGAGGAAAAGAAAAAATCGAATTTAAAATATGGATAATGTAAATACAAATTTAAAACTTACGTAGTAGTCATCATTTATAGCCACCATTGGAGCATTAACACATGCACCCAAACACTCTACCTCGGAGATCGTGAAAAGGCCATCCTTAGTCATCTCACCGGGTTCAACTCCCAAAGTTTTCTGTTTTCAAAGAATTTATTGGATCTTGAAACAAATAACTTCCACTAATACTTGTAATATACCTTGCAACAGTCCATAATCTCATCGGAGCCACGCAGCCAACATGGAGTGGTGGTACACACTTGAATGTGGTATTTGCCAGTAGGTTTTCGTAGAAACATTGTATAAAAAGTGGCGACTTCATAGACGCGCATATGCGACACTTCCAAGATTTCTGCAACCTTTTGCATTGCCGATATTGGCAGCCAACCATATTGGCGTTGTGCCAAGTCGAGCAGTGGAATCATTGCTGCGCGTTTATAACCCTCTGGGTATATGCTGATGATAGCCTCAACGCGCTTTAAAGGTTATATGCATGATTTCCAATAAGGAGTTAATGAATAAAGAGCAGATATGCTAACAACTTACCTTCTTATTCTCCGGAGTAAACTCAAATTTGATGTTTGGATTGTCTTCGGGTGTGTCACGGTGTACGAAAAGATGATCACTGCGCTGTACCGCACTTGTGGCGATAGCGCGCATACTGCCACGCTGTGCACGAAAATTAAATATTAATAAAAAATTTAGGAATAATAACAGATTTACGCTTTAAATTACATAACGTACAGTCCTATTTTTCGCTTTGCCAAAATTATTTTTTTGTCAGCGCATGTTTTATAAATTTATTTTCACTCACCACTAAATTGATTGACTTAGATGCACAACTTGAAATCATTCTAACAAATAAATTGCAAACCCGTAAATATTAAATAATTTCGTTTATGCTTCAAAGCAGCAAAAATTTGTGTTGTTTTGACAACTGACAGCACACCGAAATCAGGAAATTTTCAAATAATTGGATGCATTGTCATAATCAGCTGTTCACTTGTTGTCAGTCAAATGATTGAAGAGAATATTGTTAGTTACACTAGTGTGAAATTAAAATTTGATTTATAGTCGCTATCGGAGTAATGCACATACCATACATAGTATATAGAAGTAATTTTCTCAGAAAGGATTAAGCTCGGTCGCAACCGAAAGTTGGATCTTCTCGTATTCTTAAACATTTAAAGAGTTTGAAATACATCGAGATGTGTGCGAAATTTGTCACAATTTTAATGAACATTTTCTGTCCAAAACCGGTAATGAAAAATCTTTTCCGATTTTACTCGGCTTAAATTTTCTAGGACTATGTATTTTCTGGCAATCACTATGAAGAATACCACATATAGAATTAAAAACATATCTCAAGGATAATGGACAACTTGATTTAATTTAAGAGGCTCAGTTGACGATATCCCTCCCATTACTTGCGAATTAGGTCCCTGAAGCTTTTTAGATCACATTTAACTTTTTTGGGAATTCAAATAGGGTCTAAATCCAAAGGTGCGCCTAGAAAGTATTACAAGAATAGAAGAATTTTTGGGAATTCAAAAGGGTTTAAATTCAAAGTATTACAAGAATAGTGTGTCGAGATTTTTTGAGATACTCGTAGCTCAACGGATAACGCCCATAGTTTTATTATGAACCAATCCCCTGAAAAATGTACGTCTTTCAAGGCAAGCCATGAATTTTACCATTGTATGAAAATATGTATGTTGGTATACATAAAATCATTCGAATTTACGTCTGGTGCGCTTAAAAGCTACAACTTCATCGTTTTCTTCTTTGCAATAAAAAGTAAACTTATTATTTATTATACAAACATGTCACGAATGGTAATATTAAATGGAAAACCTTTGTGATTCATCTTCAAGCAACTAGCAATTGCCAGAAACAAAGGAAAGTTTTACGTCAGGTTTAACTACTTGTAGAGCATACGTACGTGCAGGAGTACTTTAAGGCTTGTCAAGGCTAGTAAGTAAAATATACATCACCGTAGATTGTCTACAGTAGTGCGATCTGCCACGAAATATATAAGTTTCATATATACGAACAATTCACTATAGCTGCTAGATGGAAGCCCTTCTAGTAATACTTATATATTCTCAAAAAGACTAATGATTGAAACCCGAAGGTTCAAGTTTAACCCGTTGGCTGCCAGTGTATCCCCGGTGTTCACAACGAAAAATCACCCCCGGTGCACCGGTTTTTTGTTGTGGTCACCGGCGATACACTGGCAGTCAACGTGTTAAATAGTTATTTCTATATTTTCTCTCTTTCAAGCCTTTAGTATATCCTATATCTGTATGTAACTTTTCGTAGACCCCGGTATATCGATGTAAAAATTATAGTTAATAGGCAGATTTAACACATCCAGCGACTCTTATAATATTTCACCTAATCGATATTGTCCCATCTGATTAAGTTTGACCCGGATTGACAAAAAAAAATTCACATTTTTCTATTTTAACAGAATTTTTATTGTTGCCTTCAAAACAGGCCAATACAAGTCTATCAACGTTTAATCCCATTTTCCATACACTTGTTATAAGCCTCGGCTGGAATAGCCTTCAGTGCCATAATTATAAATTCACGTCTCGTCACCACTAATGATGCGTTTGATGAATGATTAAAAGTGTCCACAGATACGTTGTCAAACATCTTTCACGTCAGATCGTTTGGTTCGTGTCTAGCGTTGATTCGATCCGTAAGAAATGTTGAACTCTTTTGCTATCTTTTTACTTATATTTTGATATCAATCCATTAATATATCGAAATATTTATATTTCAGATAATTGCATGTCATTTGTTTGCAAAACTATGTGATCAGCTGTTTTAACGTGAGCGTCTACTGGCCCCACGACTTGGATAGCAAAATTGATATATTGGCGTTAAAGTTCTAAAAGTGAGAGTGATTGAAAGCGATTTCTTGATCGTGTAACGTCCGGGTTACTCTAATGTGGCATTGAACAAAAATTCGCCTAAAGACCTAGATGATATTTTCTTGTTCCGATGTATAAAGATCTTGGTCGGATAGAAATTCGGTTCGATGAGTGCTATGCCTTCAACGATATGATGTTTTATGGATATCTCTCACAGAAGGGAGGTGTAATAATAAGGGTACCATTAGATCTATAAAGGTCGATTTCATAAAGGGTTTCTTGAAGTTTAAAACTAACCATAAGACGAAAACTGATTTACGTTTTAAAAGTTGGTATCAAGTGGTCGATCTTACGCTGGGAATTGGAATGATCGAAAAGTATGAGAGTACCCGTGGTGAATATAAGAATGGCATACACTTGATTTCATTTATCAAAGAACCAAATTTGTTTGCCGGTGTGTAAACCACGAGCCACGCTCCCCGAGCTAGTATTGTGACACAAATTACGAGTACATATAACAATTCTGACCGGCCATACATTCGCACAGACATATACATATGTATCTGTATGAACAAATCAACTCGTATGCGGATTGTGAACGCGTCCATGTACGTGCTTATTTTATCAATTAACGTAAAAATCGTACATAATGCCTATATGTTACTAGGCGATGGAGAATTGTAAAAGCCGCTTCAAAGAATTTAGAATACTCGCGGTTTGAGTATTAGAATACTCGTGCCAGAGACGCGGCACGTCGAATGCGAATGCGAAATATTAAATTAGATTAACGTTTGAAACGTGCGTATAAATTGACCGTTATCAGTGAATTAATTTTAAGATCGATTCAATCGCCGATATGTGTACGAGTAGGGAATTGAGCAGAGCCGACATGGCATTCACCATTCTCCACTACTGTTCGGCTGTATGCGAAAAATACTTGCTGCTGTTACTACTGCTGTTGTTGGCGAAGAATGACAAAGAAGCCAGAGCTGCAAAGAAAGCGACACGAGCTTTGTAAAAGACAATGTACTCATGCCTTAAATTTGCTTTACCTGGCCTCATTGGTGTCTCTTGGTATCTTGTTGGCTGTTGGTGTCTGGGCAAAGTCTCTATTTAGTGGCTCTCTCTTGACTTACATACACCACACCAGTAAGGCTTGAAAGAAATTCTTGCACCGGACATTGTTGATGCGCTTTCGGCCACTATATGTAGTTGTGTGCGCTTGTATGTGTATGCGCTTCATGTTGAGCGATCGCATCGCTCTAAGCGTGCCAGCGTTGAGTGACTTGGTGTTGAACTTGGTCAGTGGCGGCAGGCTTTGCGCTTCCCAATATCACAGTTTGATTGCATATTTTCGATTTAGTTACGTTCAGCTTTCAATAGTGGCGTGTACAGCGTGTTCGTTGCGGCGAAAACTAAAATTCGGAAAGTGAAATTTACAAGGAAACTAATTCAGTTGAACTTTAATACATCATTTAGCGAGTAGTTATTTAACGATTTTCGAAATTGTGCATATATTTTTGAAGTAAGTGCATACGTGTTGGATATAATACTACAGACTTTTTGCGCAAACTTTTTTAAACTTTTTCAAATTAAAAAAAAAATTCAAAAATTGTTTTAAAATTTTTTTTAAAATTATTTCCAACGCATTTTTTGAATATTTCCTCGTACATTTTGTGTATTTTTTTCTCTATTACTTTTGTGTTTACTGCCGCTGCTGGCAACTTGTTGTTGCAGTCATAGCTGATTAGTGCCCTGTCCACAAGTTTGTCTCGACTCACCTACTTTCCGAGCTAATTTGCATACATTTTTAAGACATTTGACATCTTTTATTTTGTGCTTTTTGTTATATTTTGATAGTTTTTTATGTATGGTCGGCTGTGAAAGTGGCTTGTATTTTACACATCTATTTATTCTAAGTTTTCGAATCTATGCAAGCTCGCGGAGTTACTGTTGGTAAATTAGGAGCTGCATTATAAATTATAAGAAGGCAAATAAATTTAATAGAAGAAAACATTTTAAAAGTATTTTAAAGAAATTATGGTATATTATAATAAAAATGAACTCAAATACCGTTTTCGCATTGTATAAAAAGCTGTCCTTTAGGAGGTCAAATTGGCATAATCTGTTTAAATGAGCTATGCATTTAACCCAAAACTTTTATGAAGTGTAATTCAGGGCAAAAATTAAAAAATCTACACAGCTGAGATGAATGAAAAGTGTTAAATCAACAAAACAAGCAGATTGTCACTCTCGATTAGAGAATTTAGCTGTGAATTATTATATTTTACTCCAAAGAGGTTACATCTGTAACAAACCGATTTCGAATCGATCTACAGATTCAGTGTGGACCGCCTCAGAACACTGTTATATTTGTTACCCAACACCTTGTAGAGTTTACTCTAACGCTCCACGTACTATTGCATCAGTCATGTTAGCTAACGGTATATCAAGAGAACGAACTTGCAGCTTGATAGACTACAAGAAGAGGGTGTTAGATAATGATGGTTCATGTCACGCAGAGTCTGTTTGTTAACTGCATACATATTTAATATGACAAGGTTAACCGTAAACAAGTGGATCTTAACTTGCTACAATATCCAGAGCATAATTATTTCAAGATCACTTGGGTTTTACGAGATTACACGAGCACTTTGCCAGTAATAGTTGGTGACTTAACTCCCATTAATGGCGTTGAACAGGTGAAATTGCAATCAAGCTTTGTCTTTATAGGAATCGACATAACATATGTGTCAAATGTCGTTAGTTAGTACTTTAGAAAGAGCTTTTGGTAGTCCTAGTACTTAACGCAGCTAAAGTACCAGGAGTTTTAAGTGATCCTTTGACAGATTCAGGTTGTTTAGAAAATATATAAGGAAAATCACAATTATGCTTGTAAAATGCTGATTAAAAATTCAGTTTATTCCGGAACCGACCTTTGCGGGAACTATTCTACAAGGTAACTTCTCAAGGTTTACTACCATGACAAAATATACTTTTTGTTGACAAAGCACAAGTCGCGATCGCAATTAAAATATTCCAATTATTTACTTCATTAATCGAGGTTCCCTAATATTTTAATTCCCATTTTTTTGATTTCCCTTTGGTCCTCAACATCTGGTGGTGATCAAGTAACCCTCATTTGAGTCAAGGAGTTTTAAGACTGTCCTCTTAAAACTGTGCGCTTGTACTTATTTCTTCTGATCTATACACTTTAATTATTTAGAATTACATTTAAGTAATGCTCGAGTAATTCATTCATTATGTAATTATAATTATATGTCTATGCAAATCCGTGAACTGAATTTTGATTTGAATACCCCCACTACATTTATTTACGACTTTCGCTATCATAATTCTACATATGCAAATATGTGAGAGCTTAAATATAAACGAGTACACACATACCCTGTAGGAATCGCAAATTAAGAGATCAATGTTTTTGCAGATATTGTTTTATATTATATACTAAATAGCATACATAAATATGTGAATTCTAAAGAAATATATATAGTATGTATGTAACTAAATTTATTCTAGTCAAGCTAATTTTATTGGAGCAAAACTTGCCTAATGTGGAGAGAACAGGTGGTAATCACTTTGTGATTATGCATAAGGTGGATACATAAGAATCTTCCAACCAAGCTCGCGGAGCTTCTTGCGAATTCCTATTGACGTGTGTTGCTGGCGCTATTCTGATGGAACATATTTCCTTTCAAGTTGGCCAAAGATAGCCGCTTGTGGTAGATTGCTTCTTTCAGTTGGTTCAGTTGTTGCTATACTATCAACAATCCGAATTAGGAGTTTGATTGTGGGCAGTAGCTGATAGCGTATGATTCCCACCAAACACATAACAACCTTCCTGACCTTCAATCCTGGCTTGGCCACCTTTTGCGACAATTCACCGCTTTTCAACCACGATGATTTTCACTGGACATTGTCGGAAGCGGCTTCAGAAATGTATCGATTTTGTTGCAATTCAGCAGCGATTCGTATATGGAGATTATTCAGGTTCCTTTTTGCGTCAACTTGTAAGCCTTTTGAATCCAGCCTTTTTAAATGGTTCCAAACGGTTATTTGTGCAATGTTTAGCTCTTGAGCAATCAAAACAGTGCTTACATGACGATCGGACTCGATGATTTTCATTATTTTTATCGATATTTTCCTAGACCATAAACACTATTCATATTTTTGGCCGCCTGGATGGCCTTTTAGCCTTTACAGAAAAACTGCATTTAAGTCAATTTACACTTTGCTGGTGTGCATCTTTGACGCGTACTTAAGCCATAGTGAGACAAGCAATCAAAATATTATACTGTCTGAGAAGTCTTTTTTGGTACAAAATCTTATCCTTCTAACGTAACCCGAAAGGTTTCTCTTTTACCAGACTTATATCTAAATATATCTCTGTTTGGGCTTTCTACCCGCTGCGCTGGTGGGATGTTAGCTCACGAGAAGTGTTTGCCACACTTAAAGAAATTTCACTTCCACACTTAGACGCTTATATAATCGACGCAAGCGTTTCACTGCAAATATGTTATGTATGTGACGCGGTAATCGTTTCGAATTTTAGTTGCTTTGTTGTTGTTGGCATACAATTTATGCGTTATGATAACGGAACTGTAATATTATTCATACTTGCTAAGCGTTCACACACACATCAGCGCACGCTTAGCCATCCGCCTATACACGCAGATTTGCCGGTAAATAAAATGTTGAAGAAGAAAGAAACTAGATGACGAAGAAACGTTGGTGTGCTGCCGAAACGCTAACAAATTACTTTTGCTCATTATAAATTCACTTTCAACGATGACAGCTTAGCTGGCACATACATACGTACATATGTACTACATACAAGTGCTTGTGCTCAGATGTAAGTTTAGCGTGCACTTGTGAATTATTGAAACGGCTAGATAGTGCTGCAATGAGTGTGCGCATGTGTTAGTATTGTGTGGCTGACTTTGTTATGTAATAGCACAAAATTATATTTAAACCGTCAACAAGATTTTTTCGGTCACAAGCGGCGTCAGCGGCATCCTCCTTAGAATCACCAGCAGCGGCAGCGTCAGCTTCAAAACCCGTGCAACAACCGGATATGCGGCGTCATGCAAATGATGTACACTCGCCAACACTCACAGTTCAATATGTTAGTATGTGTACGTGTCTTCCCGCCTATTTTTGTTCGGCCGTTAACCCACTATGTGTAAGCTGTCGAATTTCGCCAGGAATGTGGCACTTCTGAATTGTAGTTATTGAGGTAATCACAAATAATTGCAATTCGGAATTCGAAAAAGGAAGGTGTGGCCGAGTGGGTTGGGTGCACCGGGATCTCTGTGTGGACTGGTCAGACTTTCAGTATAGAGTTAATTTCGATAATGATTCCTTCAATTTAGTTTATTGAAAGTTCGTGTGTATCATCCAAAAACGAAATTTGAACCACGAATAAAATTTGTATCGATCTTCGCAACTTTGGTTCAGGGGGTATAATCGATTGCATGAGCTCATGCAAGCGTTAGTGACTGCTAACTTGGGATTATCAATTTTTCAAACTTTGAAATTGGTATATATTCTTTTGTGTGGATGTGACTAACTTCTCTTCTTCACCTAACTTAGTGTAAGGAAATTTCTGAAAACTTTATATGAAGTAGCGGGCGATCTTACTTAAAAACTGGTTAATTGGAATTCGAAAAAGCTCGAAAATAACATTGCAAATACTAGGAATTTTTCCGATTCCAAGTTATGGGGTTTTCGATCTTTCTACTACTATCTACTGATAGAGTAATGAAGGCTTTCTCGTGGTAAAAATTTGTTAGAAAGAATAACAATAAACATCTAATAATAACACGGTACCACCGCTGTTTTGGGTAGTCCCTCGGCAGCCAATGAAAGGCCTAAAAGTTTATTTCTGTTACAATAGAGCATCCATTATAATATTTCAGACATTCGAGGACGGCTTAGAATTTGTAGAATACTTCATAAATTTAGGAGATGTATGAACCCGTGTATGATGAATATGTTATAAGAGAAAGGGTGGCGTCAGCTGCTATTGCTATATACTTGTAGTACAGTAGAGAATTCGGTCCGTGGCACTTGAAAAAAATTGGGCGAACTAATCATATTTTCGGGTCCACAAAGCAAGTCTGTTAATTTAAAATAGTTGTGGCTCTCAAGAGTGCCTCAAGTATACTTTGACATAATAATAATTCTTTGAACATTAAACTCGCATGTTATTCCAATGTTTTATTAAGTACAGCATGGTGACAACCCCAGCCGTGAGAAACACAATGATAGGATAAAGTTTAAATTAAAGAAAAATATTTTTTCGTAAAAGTGGTTACTCTTTGGTAGTGTTCAAAATTGAACATGTGCGTTGGGACCAAAAGGGCCCACTTATACGGCGTGCAGCAATAAATTTAAGTTTATTATTTTACAATATAAGATAAGATAAGAAATATGAAAGAATAAATAAAAAAAAAAAAAAAAAAAAACCTTCGAGCCGGATAGAGCTCAAGGCAAATTAAAAAG